AGTAACGAAAAAAGACGAGCCAGGAAACTTTTTGCCTCCCTGAGAGATGGAAAGCGATTGGGGGCTGCGGCTGCGAAAAGTTTCCTCAGGTGTGCTCGGCCACTTGTGGCACTTCCCCTCCTCCTCCTCCTCATCGATGTTTATCTCTGGTTCAGCGCAACCGAGTATCAATTAGCCAAATGAAATTGCTCTTACCTGTTTCACGTTTCGCTTCTCTCTCATTTTCCAGAGCTCGGCAGAGCCTGTTTACTCACCCACAATGGCCGGTGGACTCTTCTCCATCGACAGGGAGTTCTTCGATCGCCTGGGAACCTACGACTCTGGCTTCGACATTTGGGGTGGCGAGAACCTGGAGCTGTCCTTCAAGACCTGGATGTGTGGCGGCACTTTGGAGATTGTACCCTGCTCCCATGTGGGCCACATATTCCGGAAGCGGTCGCCATATAAGGTAAGTAATCCTTTTTACGTCCATGTATTCCTCTGTTCGGATTCCCAATTTGAAAGCAAAGTCTTTGGGACCATACCTAATCCCCAAAATTACTAAGCTTCATCGATCAATTATGGAAAAGAAACCGTAGGGAAAATGAGAAATCATTGCGGGCAGAGGGTAAAACCAATATTGATCCACTTCTCCAGTGCTCATTAAAAATGGCAGTTGGCCTGCAATTTGGGCAGGCGGAATTTAAAACTCTTAGCCAACATCCCAACATGCCGTGTGCATTCCGTATCGTTTGTGTGTGTGTGTGGGCAGCAGCCTCAGGACCAGTTACCAGACCAGGCCAGACCAGGACAGACCACGCCAGAGCAGACCACTCCGCTCCAGAGGTTCGTGTTTGGTCAACAGTGGCCCAATCCTGGCCACGCCCCCAGCTCGTCCTCTTTGCCAAATGGCAGCAACATGGCACACAAGGCACAGACAAGGACACAGAGGCACAGACACAAAACGGACTCCGACATGGACATGCATTGCGGCTGTCTTTGCAACATGTGCTGCTGCGAGTGAGTGTTTGTGGATTCCTCGCACACCGCACACACCACCCACCCACACACACACACACTCGGAGCATAGATCTTTGCATTTTGGGCCAGCTTCAATTATCAACGGTTTACGCTTGACAAAAGTTTGGCAACTGTTTTGATGTCAATGGCGTAACACACACACTCACAAGAGACCGAATGGTCTTGGAGTGGAACTAACCAATTGGGCACCTGCCAAATCCCAGAGGAATATCCTTAACCCAGGATAATCACCAGAATGTGGTAAAGAAATAGGAATAGGGGATAGAGCACTAGAGAATGGAGTGTCTATCCGGCGGTAGTTCGATTAGGATACCTCTATTAACCCTAACAAGCTTAATAATAGGATATCCTAGGAAGGATTACCTTTTCCAAAAAATTTAATATAAATTAGGAAATATCTTCAGTAAAAGCAAGTAATATGTAAAATACTGCACTAAATTTCAAACAATGTCAAGCCATATTTAAACCCAAATTATATTAAGACGTCAATTTAAATCCAATAATTCTGTGCCGCCTCCTTTAAGCTCGTTCATTGAATATCACACAAATGCAGTTTAAATATTTCAATTGAAGTCTGACAATGAAATGCAAAATTTGGATTGCAATTCCATAAGACTTTCAGTTGCCTGGCAACAATGTTAAACAATACAACTTAAAGGAAAGTGCAACGGGAATTACCAGCAAAGCCTATCGATTCCGAAGCCCCGTCACGATTTGCGGCTTGAGCCGGCAATTTCAATAAATGTCAGGAGCAAACATTTCCCTCCTCTTTCTTCTTTCCGACCAAGAATTTTCCAACTATCCGGCTGGAATGCAGCTAGGCAGCAAGGCACACGGACACCTGTACAGTGAACTCATAAACACAAAACATGGCACACAACAGAGGGGCAGACAGAGGAGGCAGAAGAGCAAAGATAGATGGGTGGCCTGTGGGTGGGAAGGTGACCAATTGTCCTAGAACAACCGCAAAAGGCTGAGGACAGAGCCAGCTAGCAGGAACCACCTAATGCCACTAAGCAAAAGCTACTCATTCAGGTAATTAGGCTTTGTTGGCCACTCCACTGCACTCTGCCTCCCCTGGCTGGCAGTATTGTTCCTCCGTTGGACTCTGTTTGCTGACCAAATATTTCCATTGACTCCGGCACTCTGGCAGCCACTGGTCCACTGATTGCGCTTTCCCTCCATTTTCCATTTTCACCTCAACCCTCGGACTCATGGAACCCAATCCTCCCTCCAATTGCAGTGGCGTTCGGGCGTAAATGTGCTGAGGAAGAACTCTGTGCGACTGGCCGAAGTTTGGATGGATGAGTACTCGCAGTACTACTATCACCGCATTGGCAACGACAAGGGCGACTGGGGCGATGTCAGTGATCGCAAGGAGTTGCGGTGAGTGCGTTTTTTAGGGCAATAATAATAACCATATAAGTTTTGGCTAGAGCAGGGCAATTATTAGCAAGTTCTGTCACCATTACTTTTAAGGGGGTGTCCAAAAGTAGGAAGCGAATGGTAAAAGTTACGCATTTCCCAGCATGCCTTTGGTCACCTTTTTAAAAGAGTTTAAATCTCTATTTAATATTAAACTAACTCTTTTTTATACTCTCCCCCTTTAGGAAAAATCTCAACTGCAAGAGCTTCAAATGGTATCTGGACAACATTTACCCCGAACTCTTTATTCCCGGCGATTCGGTGGCCCATGGAGAGGTAAGTTTTCAGTGTTCTGTTTCCCCTTTCAAACCGACCCCGGATCCCTGGTTACCAAAGAGCTGCATACCTCCCAGTTCTAATAACAAACTGATACTGAAAAGCTAACATAAATTATGAACCCTTGCAATGTGAATCCATTCCACAGATTAGAAACTTAGGTTACGGCGGTCGCACCTGCATGGACGCACCTGCCGGCAAGAAGCACCAGAAGAAGGCAGTGGGCACATATCCCTGCCACAGACAGGGCGGGAATCAGGTTTGTTAAGCCATTCAACTCAGCAGTCCTGCGACCGCCACAAACTCCGTCGAGGCACAAAGCAACCCGCAAGGAGATCAAGAAATATCTCCACTATTTTGTTCCACTTTTTGCTACTACTCCAACTCCCAAACAAAAACACTAAATTCTCTCGGGCTACTGGGTGTTATATATACTCCCCCAAGACTCCTTAATTGAACTCAGCTTTCCGATGGATCTCTATATAGTGAACTTAATTTGCAGATCGCCAACCTTAACTCGGGCATGTGCCTGGATGCGAAAGAGAAATCCGACGAGGATGTCCCGGTTACCATTTATAGTTGCCATGGCCAAGGAGGAAATCAGGTATCCACCCTCCATGTCCACGTCCTCAGAACTCTCATGAGAGTAGGAGAAGCATCCGTTTTCCTCTCGGCTTCTCGATCTCGTTGATCCTCTCTTCATGCTTTTTGGGAACACGTCTTCCTGTTCGGTGTTCTGGCTTCGGTTGTTCTCTTTCCTGTTACTAAGTTGATGCTTTTCCGCTATTTTGTACAATTACACGAGTATTTTTGGTACATTTTCGTCAAACCTTTGCTTGCTTTACTTTAGCCTAAACCTATACCTAAACCTAAAACCAACCCAGACTCACACTGGACAAAGTACTCCTTCCATATCATATATAACATCATCATTGATTAACAAATTTTAAGCCAATGGTTTCAAGAATATTGCCTGTTTAAAGGTGAATAGAGTTAATAATTTTTTTGTAAGCTAATAACAGAAATATAACATTTTCACATTCAAATAATCTTACAAAACTTTTTAAATTCATTGATAGATTTTTGAGGAAGCTGAAGTCAGCTTATAAATAAACAAAGCTTCTCATTGATACAAATATCAATTTAATACGAATCTCTCACTCTAAGTTTTGGCACAAAATTTAATCGAATTCAACTGAATTATAACATTTATTAAACTTCTTGGCTTTAACTTAATTTAAATAAATATTTGCCAAACCTTTACCAACTCTTATCTTAACTGCAAACTGAACCTTAATGTTCCTAACTCTTTTCTTTCTGTTCTTTAATTTCTAAATGCACTTTAATGCACAAATCCTTTAACTTTCTTTCACTTTTTGTTTTGTTTGTAAAAAGTTGTAAAGCCGTAAATTGTTTTTGATTTTTGGTGCCTGTGTGGGAAGTCGGCCCCTCTTCTAATAAGGTGTTCCAAGTTAAACCGGATCCCTCGATACAACAATAAAGTTATTTTTGCCGTTGTTATTTCAATACCCTTGTGAAAGTCCTGCGGTTTTGAGCACTAATTTTGACGGAGTTGTGGCTACAATAACAAATATTTGTAGAGTACATAAATAATTTGGATTTATTGCCGCTTTGCCGGCAAACAATTCATATTCAATTTATTATTTGCCTGCCATAAGTGGAAGTATTTATCAACGAATTTTGCCAGCATTGACATTTTAACAGTTTTACAGGATTGCATACAAGCTCGCAAGCACACACAACACATACACACACAACACTATAACACACACCCTGGCGACACAGTGTTGCACATTTGGGACATTCGGTCGATTTATGCCATGTCACAGAAATTAATTAAAACGCAATCATAAATAAAAGGCCGAATGATAAATCATTTACATGGCTTTGGCTTTGGCTTTATACTTTTTTGTGTGTGCTATTACTACAAGAACAAAAAAGAAGGGAATAACAAAACAGCAAACACTCGAAACAATGACACTGGCAAACAGAGCTTTTGTTACTAGTATTTTAAACAAGTCGGTAGGAAACAAACAAAAACATTTGCAAGCAAATGAACTGCTACAATGGAATGCTTTACCTACACTCTGTCTGAGATACTTTTACGCTCTCACAGATACAGATACAATACAAATACAGATACAGATACAAATACACCTACAGCTACAGATACGCTGGGATGTGTGTGAAGAATATTGTATATTCACATTTAAAATGGAGGCAAAAGTGTTGACCTCGTTCCGTTTGTTCTAAAATCGCCCCAGACAGACATCTGCCACGCCTACTGCCCATGGTTTCCGCCTTCTCCCTTTGGGCCTAACACTATGCTACAAATAGAAGCTGCATTTAGGGAGAAAAGTTAAATATAGAATAAAATGTGCAGGAAACGACCAAAGGATACCTGACAGAAACATGCCTACTTTTTGGGGCACAAATGGTTTGTTTAAATGGAAAAATTTAATCCTTTTAAACAACATTTTTTGAGAATGTGAAATCAATTAAAACTGTAACTTAAATCATAGTTTTTTCTGAGTGATTTGATGCCTGTATTGCATGTTTTTCAATCTATTTCAATTCCATAGGGAGTTCTGCATCAATGGTTTAAGAACAAATTAATTGTTTTGTGATATACCCTAGAAAAAACCCATGAATTTTGCTTCCAAATAGATTTAACCAAATGTTTGTTGGCACTCTAAAATGCAACGGCGTATAAAATAATCAACATTTGCAGCGTCACAACATGCAGCTCGCAATTCGCTTTTTTGAGCGCAAATTTTAATTTCGCACATCGCGAAATTTAGCTGGCGAACCGAGAAAAATGGGGAAAAGCGGAAAACTGGGTGAGCTCGGGAATAACGCTTCCGACTGACGCGTCAAAGGATATATCTTCCCCTCGAAAAAAACACCACACTGCCCCAAAAGGGGTTAGTAGTACTGTCCACATAATGAAAGTACTTCTCTCCTCCGCGCGAATAAAAAAACGAACACGTCTCGACTAACAAAAATATTTGTGTGCAGCCAGCAAACAAATTTGTTCAGTGGGAGCGAACAAAAATGGAAATAAAGCTACACACATAAAAATACACTAGATAAAAGACGGGGAGTTGGAAAATAAAAAAGAAACGAGAGACGTAAAAAACGTAATTAAAAACGCATCTCGCGCGCAGACACATACACAAACAGAAAACGCAATGCTAGCGGGGAAAAAAGGGAGCGGAAGGATAAAAAGAAATGCAAATTGAGAACGCGAAGGACGACAAATGAAACGACAGGGAAGGGGAGGGGGTGTAAGTGGGACGTAAGCCTAAACAATGAGCGAGGATGAACACGACGACATAAACGCTGCGGCGGGAAACGTCCTTGGGCGGGCGGTGACGGTGGAAACTGTGCATTAGTCTGAAATGCAGTAACAGTACGTGACAATAGAGTAAGGCGGGGTCTAAAAGGATACGCAGCAGGAGTAATGATAAAGATTAGAAAGGCGGGATATTTATAGGATTTCAAGCAATAAATAGTCGCAAGAAGCACTAATGCATCTTGAAGCGAAAGCATTCATTTCAGCTCGGGCTTTTTAAGGCGGAATTTGTATACCAGTACAGTTTAAAATTAAATTTTGAAGTCAGAAACAGTAAACTCGTAAAGAGCGTTATCTATTGACGCATGAAGCTTTGGTCAGTCCCCTAATTGAACTGGTCAAACAATAACAGTAATTATTCATGGCACACAACATCCCCTCGATATCCTGCGTTGACCGATCTCATCATTATTCCAGTCCCGGCATCATTATAAACAAAATAAAGAAGGCAACAGAGTGGGGAGAGGGGGGTGTCTATCCGGGACCGTCAGCAACGACAGGAAACGGAAATGGTAACACAAAATGGCGGCTGGTCACGACCCGGTTGCCAAAAGGGGGATTGGGCGAAGGGGAGGGCGTGGCATCAGCAAACAAAGGCCATTTCAGTCACCAGCAGATTCTGTAGCAGCGAGCTCAGGCCATCTGGCATTGGCAACGTGTTTTAAATTATAAATAATCATGGCCAGCCCAGACTCGCACACCCTCAGGATACGGACACACACTCACACACACTCGAACACACTGTTGAGAGCTGCTTTTCGGCATTTAATTGAATAAAACATTAGTGTGTAATAAGTTGTGCGGCTGTAGTCCTGGCAAAAACTTTTCTTTCGCTGCTGGCAAACTGGCAAACGCATTCGCTGACATTACAATTTATATTAATCCCTGGTGTCTTCCCTCGATTTCCGTAGTACTGGATGCTGAGCAAGGCGGGTGAAATACGTCGCGACGACTCCTGTCTGGACTATGCCGGCAAGGATGTGACGCTTTACGCGTGTCATGGCGGCAAAGGAAATCAGGTGAGTATAGGGGAAAATATTGTAAAGGAAGAGGGATAACTGGAGGAAGATTTCTACAGATTTAAGTGAAGGATTTTACAATTTAAAAATAAAGGAAATTACCTTCGTCCTAACTTATATACGCTTGCAGTTTGTAAACTAATTATAGGATCAAATGGAATATCTATCATAACTAAGGCTAAAATAATTGCATTTAGCGAGATTTTGAGATGAAAATTGTATGGCAAATCATACCTCATAACTGAGCAAATTTCAATTCGGAAAGCTTTTCAATGCTAGTTTTTGTTGAGTTAACAAATCTGCATACTCAGTTGAAATTTTTAGAAAATAGAAATTTTTGCGTATTTTTGATAATTTTTACGATGTAATCCCTTATAAAATTTTGAAATTAGGAAAAGAATTTAAAAATTTATTTTTCTACCAAACATAGCCTGATCGATTCGGTTTTTGATACTGATCAAGGATATATATGATTTTTTATATATATATATATGAGCTTTTGACTATAATTAACATACCCGCAAGGGTATAGAAACATATTTAATAAATAGAAAGAATATATATTTGTTTTAGAAGTTCAAATGATTAAATCAAATAGAAATACGTCTAATCGAATCTACTTTTCACTTACAGTTCTGGTCTTATCGCGAGAACACGAAGCAGCTGCACCACGGCACCTCCGGCAAGTGCCTGGCCATCTCGGACTCCAAGGACCGACTGGTGATGGAGGAGTGCAACAATAGCCTCAGCCGCCAGCAGTGGTCACTCGAGAACTACGACAGCTCCAAGTTGTGAGGCTACTTCTATGCGAGGGGTAACCTCATGTTGCCCACTTCGCGGCGACACCAGCCACCACATGCATAGCAGCAGCAGCAGAAGCAGAAGCAGCAACAGGATCGGGGAGCAGCAGGAGCAAGGAGCCAGTCATGGAGTGGAGGCAGGAGTTGGAGTAGTTGGAGGATCCGCGAGGCATGTGCAATAGACGGGGAATGAGAGAAACAGAGGGTAGCAGCAGCATCACTTGCCATGCTATATAAATATAAACTAAACTTTATACATGTTTCCAAACAACAGAATAGACGTTACTTAGCCCTAAGCACCAAACCACACCCGCAGACTAGACAAACAGACACTGAAAGAACGACTGCTGTACAGTATCTATAAGATGATTAGTTCTCTAGCATCTAGACCTAAGTCGAGGCACATAGGATTAGTTTTAAGGAGCTGAGCCGGGCCAAGGCCGAAACAAAAACGAACGAAGGCGAAAAGTCGTAGCGCAATTTTGCATTTAAATTTGTAAACATTTAGCACAATTACGGAATGTGTGTGTGGTGTGTGTTTTGTTTGTTTATTTAACTTACTCTCCAGGCTCCGAAATATTTATGAATTTTATAAAAAAAAAAAACAAAAAGAGAAATCAAAAAATAAGAAAAACAAATGTCATCAAATGGCTTTGCAAGAGCCTCATTCCAAATATATGTTTTAGTGAGTAAGCCGTAGGCTAAGTCCGAGTTGGAAAGCATTTGGTGATAGCCTTTGTTCGTTTCACCTCCCTCCCCCCTAGCATTTCCCTTCAAATTTGATTTTATTTATTTTCCTACCTTACGATCTAGGGAGGTTTTGTGTTGCTTAATTTTTAGACGAGCGAGCGAGTTGGGAGCGTTGAAAACCTTATGCCAAATTACGTTTAGATGTTTAGATTTTCTGTTCCCTTTTTAATTTCTTTGAAAATCCGTTGCATTTCTTTCCGTTGGATTCTCAAAGAATGGTAAAACGACGACATATCCTAAGCCAGCTTGTAGTACTTACAAATATTATATCAGTTTCCCAACTACCGATATCACAGAAGATACATATAGCGTTAGTCCTTAGCGTATTAGTCCTTGATGCAAATGTGCATAGTGCCTTCTATTTATAACGGACGCATTCTGACACACACACTTTACTATAAACCATATGATGTTTTTTCTTAAATCGTTCATCGAACTCTTGTAGGTTTAGGCTAGGTCACAATCACAGCGACTGTGTATATACCGTACTGTACAATTCCATATCGCATCCCGCTGAATATGTGTGTACATAACTATCGACTAAATACTGTTTATCCAAGACTAAAGCGTACATATAATATATATAAATATCACGATGCTGGCGCGACAGCTTGTTCTTCATTTGCTAAGTTCTATTCCAGCCAGCGAGCTTCACTGTAGGCGGCATTTACAACTTACGTACGAAACCAAAAGCCATACACGAAGTGGTCGATATTCTTTTTTAAAAAGCAAAAACTACAACTTACCATAGTTTAACTCTAAGCGCGTAGTAAATGTGTAGCCAGGACGCAAGAATTGTGCAAAGGAATCACAGATACAGTTATAAATAAAAATATGTGAATTGAAAATAAGTTAATGGTTGTTTTCTTTAATTAGGGATTGGTTAAGATGATCTCCAGTATTCCAGAATAAATATATACATTTTTCATTTTCATAATTTCATATACAAAAGGCAGCTTTGCAAAATGCTCCATTTTTGGAAGATATTAACCTATCTCCATACCGTATACAAAAAGACATTTTCTACGATATCATGCCTCTTATTTGATATGTCAATTAAAGTAATCTTTCTAAAAACGAATCGCTATAAAATTGTTTTGATTTGTATTTTATATAAGTATTTAAAAAACCCATTATTTTTGTATTTCAAGCTAGCATTCCTTGATTGTGCCATCTATCGGACAGCGGCTGCACTAAGGGCGACATCTAGCTTTGCTTTTTAATATCTACATGTAAAAGAAGTGTAAATTTAAGGACTTTTCCCATTAAAAGTTGTTTAATTATTTGTAGTACTTAATTAAGAAGTAAGTATGCCAGAAAATTAATCCATTTTTGGCTTAGTTATGCGAATTTTAAACTACGATTTGTAGAAAAAATTGTGATGAAAACAGATATAAATATATATATAAATAATAATTAAAATTGGCCAAAAATTTCATATTTTTACTTTTAAAACCGAGTATGCAGTTTTGTTAAACTATTAAAAACAAACATAGAAAAGCTATCCGAATGAAAATTAAGGCATTTTTGGATTAGTTATGCGAATTTTAAACTATGATTTGTAGAAAAAAATGGTGATGAAAACAGATATAAATATGGTCCCAAAGAATGGTATTAAATTTTCAGTCATTTTTGGTTTTTTAAATTTTAAATTGAGTATGCAGCTTTGTTAACCCAATAACAAAGAATACAATACAGCTCCCCGATTGAAAATTAATGCATTTTTGGCTTAGTTATGCGAATTTTAAACTATGATTTGTAATAAAAATTGTCATAAAATTGATATAAATATTGGCTGCAGAATGGTATTATACTTTCAGTCAGAAGCCTGTAATGCAGTGAAGGAGTCATTTCCGACCCCATAAATCATATATATTCTTGATCAGCATCGATAGCCAAGTCGATCTAGCTAATTATTAAAGGAAAAAAATTTTTAGATTTTTTCCATTTTTTGAAAAAATGATAAGGGGTTACATCATTAAAATTGTCAAAAATTGGCCAAAAATTTCATATTTTTACTTTTAAAACCGAGTATGCAGTTTTGTTAACCTATTAAAACTAACATAGAAAAGCTTTCCGAATTGAATTTAATGCGTTTTTGGCTTAGTTATGCGATTTTAAACTTTGATTTGTAGGAAAAATTTGTCATATAAAAATATACATAGAAAAATATTGGCTGAACAATGGTATTAAACTTGCAGTAACTTTAGGTATCGAAAATTAAAAAATTTAATAATATAATAACAAAGAATACAATAAAGCTTTCCGAGTGAAAATTAAGGTATTTTTGGATTAGGTTTGCGAATTTTAAACTATGATTTGAAGAAAAATGGTGATGAAAACAGATATAAATATGGTCCCAAAGAATGGTATTAAATTTTCAGACATTTTTGGTTTTTTTAATTTTAAATTGAGTATGCAGATTTATTAACCCACTAACAAAGAATGCAATACAGCTCCCCGATTGAAAATTAATGCATTTTGGCTTAGTTATGCGAATTTTAAACTATGATTTGTAATAAAAATTGTCATAAAAATTGATATAAATATTGGCTGCAGAATGGTATTATACTTTCAGTCAGAAGCCTGTAATGCAGTGAAGGAGTCATTTCCGACCCCATAAATCATATATATTCTTGATCAGGATCGATAGCCAAGTCGATCTAGCTAATTATTAAAGGAAAAAAAATTTTTAGATTTTTTCCATTTTTGAAAAAATGATAAGGGGTTACATCATTAAAATTGTCAAAATTGGCCAAAAATTTCATATTTTTACTTTTAAAACCGAGTATGCAGTTTTGTTAACCTATTAAAAACTAACATAGAAAAGCTTTCCGAATTGAATTTAATGCGTTTTTGGCTTAGTTATGCGATTTTAAACTTTGATTTGTAGGAAAAATTTGTCATATAAAAATATACATAGAAAAATTGGCTGAACAATGGTATTAAACTTGCAGTAACTTTAGGTATCGAAATTAAAAATTGAGTATGCAGATTTAATAATATAATAACAAAGAATACAATAAGCTTTCCGAGTGAAAATTAAGGTATTTTTGGATTAGTTATGCGAATTTTAAACTATGATTTGAAGAAAAAATGGTGATGAAAACAGATATAAATATGGTCCCAAAGAATGGTATTAAATTTCAGACATTTTTGGTTTTTTAAATTTTAAATTGAGTATGCAGATTTATTAACCCACTAACAAAGAATACAATACAGCTCCCCGATTGAAAATTAATGCATTTTTGGCTTAGTTATGCGAATTTTAAACTATGATTTGTAATAAAAATTGTCATAAAAATTGATATAAATATTGGCTGCAGAATGGTATTATACTTTCAGTCAGAAGCCTGTAATGCAGTGAAGGAGTCATTTCCGACCCCATAAATCATATATATTCTTGATCAGGATCGATAGCCAAGTCGATCTAGCTTATTATTAAAGGAAAAAAATTTTTTAGATTTTTTCCATTTTTGAAAAAATGATAAGGGGTTACATCATTAAAATTGTCAAAAATTGGCCAAAAATTTCATATTTTTACTTTTAAAACCGAGTATGCAGTTTTGTTAACCTATTAAAAACTAACATAGAAAAGCTTTCCGAATTGAATTTAATGCGTTTTTGGCTTAGTTATGCGATTTTAAACTTTGATTTGTAGGAAAAATTGTCATATAAAAATATACATAGAAAAATATTGCTGAACAATGGTATTAACTTGCAGTAACTTTAGGTATCGAAAATTAAAAATTGAGTATGCAGATTTAATATAGGTATAGGTATTTTTGGATTAGTTATGTGAATTTAAAACTATGATTTGAAGAAAAAATGGTGATGAAAACAGATATAAATATGGTCCCAAAGAATGGTATTAAATTTTCAGACATTTTGGTTTTTTAATTTTAAATTGAGTATGCAGATTTATTAACCCACTAACAAAGAATGCAATACAGCTCCCCGATTGAAAATTAATGCATTTTTGGCTAGTTATGCGAATTTTAAACTATGATTTGTAATAAAAATTGTCATAAAAATTGGCTGCAGAATGGTATTATACTTTCAGTCAGAAGTCTGTAATGCAGTGAAGGAGTCATTTCCGACCCCATAAATCATATATATTCTTGATCAGCATCGATAGCCAAGTCATTCTAGCTAATTATTAAAGGAAAACAAATTTTTAGATTTTTCCATTTTTTGAAAAAATGATAAGGGTTACATCATTAAAATTGTCAAAAATTGGCCAAAAATTTCATATTTTTACTTTTAAAACCGAGTATGCAGTTTTGTTAACCTATTAAAAACTAACATAGAAAAGCTTTCCGAATTGAATTTAATGCGTTTTTGGC